TTTCTTTTCTGGTCGCCATACCCAGGACTCAGTAAAGTGACAGTTTGAATGGGAGGAGTAGGAAGTGCTTCTACCAGAGAACAACCTGTAACCCAGTTGCAAGGATACGTACTGTAGGAAGTTATGGCACAATCCTGGGCCAATGGGGGGGCGGGGGAGGCAAGTCCCCCCAGGTTGAGAAGAGCATATAATCCAGGTCTTTTACATCAGGCTCTACTTGTCAAGCTACTGAAACAGAAAAACATAGCACTTCTTCCTCCAATCACATTTTTAAGACTTAACCTGATCCTTTTTAAAAAAGTGTGCATAAGAGGTTCCTAAATCCAGGAGAGAGGCCTGGGGGCTGGCCCATTACAGGTATCTTCTGCAGACCAAAACTCAGTGTTTAATTCTTTGAGATGGAATTTAAGATATGATTTTCACATCAGCATTCCTCCTTGGAAAGCTTAATGGCTCTCTCATGAGCCTGCTGGAGTTTATACACCAAAATGATATGAATAGGATGACCTAAGTGACCTAATCAAGGCTGTGGATTCCATTTTGGTTGCCAGGCAGCTCTGCTACTTCAGTGCCATGGTTCTCCTTTTTTATGCTACCTGCCTTTAAGCAGTCAATTTTTCCAACCTTGAACTTCCCCTAGTCATTTTTAGTGAAGCTTCCTTTTCCCATGAAGTCTCAACAGGCCATTTTAGGTGACTTTTTTACATGGCTTCAAATATTCCTCTGATGGAGAAGATTAACAGCTCCATTTCTAACTTGTCACTGAATCCAATCCTGAACACCCACCAACTTTTTTTCACATCAAATTGAACTTCTCCCTTTCCAAAACCTTTCACTTATTACTGACAGTGTCACCATCCTGCCAAAAGGTGATCTCTTTACTTCACTCCTACCTCATTTCTTCTGTCAACAACACTGTACTGAAATAAAAAATGTGAAGGAAAACCTTCTTCTAAAAATCTTACCTTCTGTTACAGCATTTAAAAACCTCTGTTTAGGCCCTAATATTCTCCTCCTCCCAACCTGATGTTTACAGCTCTAATTCCAAAATCTCTGGCTGCTAAAAAAAAAATCTTCATTGTTCTACCTACATACTTCAGGAGTCGCTTATTCTCCTTTTTCCACTTCCAGTCTTGTAAATACATAACTCTAAGGGCTAAGTATGATTTCATTGTCCAGCTTTATCTTCTACACTACTATTTTTTTTAACTTATTTCCTTCACCATTCCATCATTCCCATTTCCCTTGCAACGTAATTTGCTTTGTTTTAATCAACAGAATACTATTTTGATGCATTTCTGCAAACCAAGGGAATTGCTGCAGTTGAACCAATTTTCTCCTACATGAAAGGATTTCCAAGGTCAGTTAGCCAGCTTACATGTTGTTTCTAATTCATGTCTATAGAACAAAAAGCTTTACAAACTACTATTTAAAAAACAAAACAAATCAAAGCAAAACACTGAACCTCATATCAAATTAAACTGATTTATGGTATGCCTGGGTATAGACTTACCTGAGCTAGTTTTAAACTAGCCACAAGTACTTATAGTTGTCTAGCTATAAGCTATTATGGAGTACAGCTCAATGTAGACCAGGCTACTATTAGTAGCAGAGAAAACTAGTTCAGGTATGACTAAACTATGCCTTCAGCGTAGAGGTCTTCTTACTACTATTTTTGAAGATACTGGCTCAGTCTAACAATTAACTTGGAACTGTTTTAGCATTACTTGGCATATGGAAGGTCAGATACATGCAATTAATTTATACCTGATGCTATTAAACAAACTGAACAGCCAGGTTTAATACTTAAATGACAAAAAGTTCAGTGATGTTACAGTTGGCTGTCCAAGCAATGTATGTTTTTATCAGTTTCAAAGCAACTTCTTCAACTGTAAACTTTGCAAAACAAACACCATGATTATCAAGATGTAGTGTCTACAGCACCTAACCAAAGGTACTGATGTCAAGTTTTACTTAGGATAAACAGAGCTGCTTGCTTTTCTAAACAGGCTGAAGAAACATACCACTGAGTCTGTTAGGATGACTAGGACCCTGTCCTCTCTTATGGAAATGCTTTTTGCCTCTCCCCCACTTCCCAATTCCATGCCCACGCAGGAGTGTACAAAGATCTCTTATAGCTTAAGACACGCACCAACAAATAAAACTTTATTGAATGCAATATCAGGCACTCTGTTTCATTTCTAGGGAAGTGTATTTTCTAAAATGATGCCCTTTAATATTTCCTAAAAGCCATATTCTAGCTATAGAAAAATTCCCATGTCAGGAAATACCCAGTTTCAATTCATCATGTGTCAGTTAGGTAGGGCAAGATAAATTTAAGTCCTTCTAAGAGGATGATCATTTCTAGTAGACACCAGAATGAGACATATGCAACTCATTTTTGATTGTTTCTACTCCAACAGTCTATACTTACCTATCTAGAAGGAGGATGCTTTTTATTTTAAAAAAATCTGTATAAAAAGTGGCATTTTCCTTATTCTTTCTTAGGTAAATGCAGCTGAAGGCAATTTTTCATTACCATTTTCCAAAATAATCATCCTGGCCATCTGCATATTTAATACTATTTCCACAGTTTATCAGGTCATAAAGCTTCAGTCCATTAACTTAAAGGTGTAAATATGACTGTCTTTTGGTTTGGAAAGTAGATCATAAGTCCTCATGTCCAGGAGAAGGTGGTGTAGTCACTGCTCTCTCTTCTTCCTCTCCTGTGCAAGTAAGTACCTTAGTTAGAATTATTTGTTACAACCAGTACTCTGTGTTACTTTCTGACTCTGAGAACTCAATAAAGAAAAAATAACTTGGGTACCAAGAAATAAACAGTACTGAAAGACAAACTGGGGAACTGCCAGGAATGTTCTCTCTTATCTGAAGTTTATGAACTAGGTAGAAGACTATAAAACCTTTGCTATGTTGAGCCAAATTTGCCATTTCTTGTGTTCTTAGTCTTTTTAAATACTTTTTAGTTATGGTAAATCAGCAAATACTCATCTTCAGGCTACTGCTTTTCCTTCTCTTTTTATCTTCCTCTTATCTCATTTCCTGTCTCTCCATATGTTTTCTCCTCTGAATTTCATTCCCCCTAGCAACTACAATTTCATCTTCCCGCCATCACTCATGTTCTAAAGGAACTAACGAGAACACACTCATAGTGGAAGCACTGCTATTTCCATTCTAAGCTCTTGTTTTCAATGCTTTATAGCTACTGAACCTTCCAATTTCCAAATGCATAAGCATCAAGGCAAGATCCTTAGGAAAACAGCTTTTCAATTACTTAAATGTCTAAATTGAGTGGGGGGGAGTATGACACTTCAAAATAGGGGTGCAGCAACAAAGATTTTTAGGGGCTGATACCAATGGCTGATTATTGACCAGTCATGTTCGCCAATATCGATCTGATTGCCAATACACACCTGGCAGCTTGGAGAGCAGCGTCCAGTTGGTAAGTCTGCTGGGGAGACAGGGTATGGGGGAAGGAGATCGATATCCCCACCATGAAAAAGGTAGTGGGGCTGAGGCTAGGGCAGGTGCTACACAGCCGGGGTGCAGTGGGGCACAGCTTGTCTGGGCAGCATAAGAGGGCAGCTCCCACAGCTGCACGCACCCCTGGGGATGCATGAGGGGTACGTGCCCCCTAGATCTGTGCACAGGGTGAAGGCAGGTTGTCACTGCGTGCTTGGGGATGCGCTGGGCTCTTCCTGGTGAGGGGGCTGAGCCAGGGCTGTGCTCAGGGCGAGGGTGGTGCTAGGAAGGGAGCTACGGGGTGGGCTACAGCCACCCCAAAATTCACCGTAGTCCCCCTTCCCAGCAGCACTGCCACCCAACCTGAACACAGCCTCCACCCCAGACCCCAATGCGGAAGAGCCTGGTGCAGCCCCAGCCCCAACCATGCAATGGGCAGCCCACCCTCGCCCTGCACACAGATCCAGGGAACACATGCCTCGTGCCTCCCCTGGGGGTGCGCACAGAAGGAGCCACCTCCCACCCAAGGCTCCAACCTACACCCTGCCCTGCAGCACCTACTTCTACCCCAGCCCTACTCTCTCCCTCACTACAAGGGCCTCAAATGCCCACCCTCTTCACCTCCACAGACTTACCAGCCAGATGCTGGTCTCCAAGCTTCCAGACTATGCTCCTGGCCTCGTGCATGCTGCAGCTGTGCACATGCACACAGCATTTATTGGCAACATTATCGGCCACATCAGCCAAAAATACCTGATTGTCGATAACGTCAATTTTTCTTTATTGGTGCCAGTACGATATAGACTGATGTACTGGTGCACCTCTACTTAACAAGCATGTTAAAAAATGCTTTTTTCAGCATTCTGGTGAAATCTAAGTTAATTCCATTACCTCACATTACAAAACATGCAGCACAGTTGCATTCTTTAAGGTTTACTTCAAAGCATGGGCAGATCTAGGATTTTGCAGGCGCCCTCCCTCATTATTCCCCACTGCCACCATCTCAAGGGAAGAGTAAGCTCCAGAGCTGCTCCTGCCCTGTTCCAGATGAGCTACAGAGAGAGGTGGGCTCAGCCATAGGAGTGGATAGGTTCCTCCTCCCTGAACCTGCTCCCAGACTGGACAGGAATACCTAGGGGGACTGGGCAAGGAGGAGGAACCTACCCACTGCCGTTGTCCCAGGATGAGCCCAGCTCCCCATGGAGCACAGCTGGATTGGGACAAGAGGAGCTCTAAAGCTCCTCCTACTCCTGATGCATCTGGAGATCACTGCAGCAGCAGGTGGGGGAGGAGGTTAATGAAAGGAGGGGACATATCACTGAGCCAAGGTGAAGGTGAGCAAGGGGGCAGGGGAGAAATGTAGCAGCACCAGTACATTTCTTCTAAAGACTACATAAATAATCAGTGCATACCTGCTTCTGTGGTAAAATGTACTGAGTGTAGCTCAAATGTACTGAGTGTAGCTCAAACCAGGGAAGGATGAAGGAGTTTTAAAGATACCTGTTGCAGAAAATCATTCCCACAGATTTAAGGACAGAAGAGGCTACTGTATAGTGAAAGGGAGTTCATGCAAGCCATAATTTTTTACCTGATAATTCTGGCTTCAAGCCTGAAAACTTGCAAGAACAGTAACTTTTTTCCCTAAACTTTGCGATTCCATCTTAAACAGGTTTGCTACATTAAAAGTTCAAGTGGGAGAGTCTCTTTCAAAATGAATTCTATATGTTAGTTCCAAGCTAACATATTTCAACCCTATTTCAAGGTTCAAAAGTACTTATTTTGGCTGATAAAAATAAATGAGCTCTTCAGAATCAGATACTTCTATCTGTAGGAGTTTCTCAGATTGTATACGTTCCCCACAACTATCTCTCTGAAGAAGTACACAGACTGAATTCCTTAAGTGTTCTATTGTAAGAAAAGGTAATTTGGAAAAAAACAAACAAACTTTTCAACACTTCATGCCATTCTTTGGCTCTTTTCTGAACTTCCATCAGTCTTTCAGTCTTTCTCTGGTTTGGATTTTCTGACCCCTTACACTAGAGGCTCTTTCTTAAGCACCTCCAAGGTAGGATTAAGCCAAATTAGTCTAACTTAGTTCACAAAAAGCAATTTTTTTTTTAAATACACAAAAATTTCCAATTAAATATTTCAGGAATATATATGCACTCAAAATAAGATAGGAAGCAAAAAAAATTCAGACAGACTGAATTCATTCCTCATGTTCATGAATTAAGATAAGTTTTAGTTGCAACTTCAGTCTTTTCCTACAGCTTCAGAATTATTAATAAAGCTCAAATTAATGATGAGTTTGCAGCCATCTAAAAAGTACACATTAAGTTTGTTTAGCTAAATTGGCTACATATTCCACTGCCTTATGCACTGAACTGTGGTTGTGAGAATGTGCTTTTGATAAAAAAAAAGGGCACACTAATGGTGACAAATATATAAACACATTCCTTAAAGGGACAATAAAAATGAATCAGTGCAAGACCAATAGCAAGCAAATATTTTGGAAACAGACATGTTATCAAACTTGCTTCTCCTATACTAATGTCCTTTACACCAGTCTGGATGTGTAAAACAACCTTGACTCACAGCTTTTTAAAATGCAAGACTGGTGTAAAATTGCTTTTAAGAAGTGATACTGGATCAATGAAATAAATGCAGTGCATATGCATAGCATGAAAGCTTCACAAACAACCTTACATTTTCCATCTCCTGCCTGGGTATGGCCAAGTGAGCTAAACTAAAGTGGGTTTCAAATGAATTATGTAAGGTATATGTGTATAAAAATAAAAAGCAGAATTTTTATTTTGGGCAGGAGAGTGGACAGGCCAAGAGAAGGTAGTCAAATAAAGTGCTCAGTCCAGAATGGGTCTGAACATTAGTGGTTCTGACTATTGGCTTGACTACTATGCTGAAGTTTAAGGTATAACCTATCAAAAAGGTAAGACAGCTGACGTAGTATGTTCACATGTATGAGTGAACCAGTGAACCATGGCAAGTGTAATTACAGCTTTCCTATACCCCATGGATTATTTATGCAATGTACTGTTTATCTATGCCAAGGGTACTCAACTCCCAGCCCAAGTATTAGATCCATCCTGCAAAGCCATCTCATCTGGTCCACGGCTCCCCAAAAGATCTAGAAAATTTCACAGCAGGGAAGCAAATGACAGCTGCCAAATTTCTTTACCTGAAGGAAGCCCTGTGGGCAGGATAACGTGGCCCATGCACCAGATCACAATGGTACACAGCCAGATTGGGATGACAGGTCACTTGGCCTGCAGACCATTCCTATGCTATTAATTCAGTCCACAGAGCCAGAAAATTGGGTACTACTGATCTATATGCACGTGTGCTACAAGTAGCACGGGCAATCTCCGTGCAAGGCACATGGCAGACCAGGGAGAGGACAGGTAGCAGAGCAGTAGATAGGGCAAGAAGCAAAAAAAAACAGTCTGCCTGGAAAGCACAGGGTAAGAACCAAAAAGCAGAGCATCAGATTGAGCAGTGGACTCAGGGAGTCTGACAGGTTTGTTTGTGGTATGTCTGACAAAAAGTCTGCCCTCCCCACCCCAATGGTGTAGGTCATTGTTACTTCTATCTGGGAGCAAATCTTCTTACTATAAGCTACTTAAATTAGGTGGACCAAACTCCTATGATTAGGGAATGATGGGTGGGTACACATGGTTGATCTAGGAGTGCCTAGATCCTTACAGGACACAGCAGCCACGTCTACATAAGTTGTTGACTGGGCAGTAGCCCATGACTACTGAGCAGTAGTGCTGCATGGCAGAAAGCTGCAACGTGACACTACTGGTCAAGTCTTGGGCTACTGTGCAGTCAGTGTTACAAAAAAAGCCATTTGCTGATGCTACTGCACAGTAATTCCAAGTACTAAATGACTGTGCAGTAATGACTGAGAAGTCAGCATCTCAAAGACGCAGCCAGCATCTCCAAAAACTGTACGGTAGTTGCAACTTTTACTGTAATCTGTTAGACATCCCCACTGAAGTAGATCTAGAATACTTCATTTTGGGCACCAATTTTAGAAGCCTCTCACCTGCTTTTGTTTGAACACATGTTCCATCATTTTCTTCAAAGCCTTCCAAGCATATACACTTGTAACTGCCTGAGGTATTAACACAGTCTTCATTTTCTCTTACGCATACACTTTTGGCAAGATTACATTCATTTATATCTAAGAAAAAAAGGGGTTTTAAAACATTATTTCAACCAGTGAAAACTCTGTACCCAGCCCTAAAAAAACTTGATATAATTCAAGGTATTTCTAGCAAATGAATAATTTATTGTGCCTTAATACTTTGTAAGGCAGAGATGCTATCCCCCCAATACTTGACTTTACTCAGTAACCTTTCGACTTCGGAGTCAATTTCAACCTTCACTTCATGGTGCTGGATTCCATGTTTCTTTACAGTCCATGGAATGTGGTATAAATTCATGATTTATTCTCTCAACATACACCAACCTCCCATTTATGTCAATGGAAGATCTGCATAGCTAGCAAGATGATATTACAGGCTACACAGTAAATTAAGCTTTTTTGGAAGCTTATGGTGATATTCAGTTGCCAAGTACCTTCTTCAGGCCCCAATACACTTTAATTCTGTTCTTCACCACTTTCCATCTTCTCTTCTATTTTTCCCCTAATAACTGTTATTTCCCTGAGGTCTCATTTCCAACAACTATCATCATTACATACGTTTTTATATCACTTATCACCACCAGTGGAATATTTTTTTTTTGTTGATACTGAAGTCTTATTTAAGTTTGGAATGACACTCCAGTGAGATTAACAGGAGATAAGGAACCCATGCAACACATTTAAGGTATCTGTCAGATCCCAAAGTGAATCAAGGAGAAACTTCTAAAAAGTGGAGCTAAGATTCTTCATGACGAAAATGTTATTCAGGATACAAATCATTAGGGAATGTTTGACTCCTCTGACTAAAGTTTTCCTGTCACTATTTACCAATCATTTAAATGTAATTGTTCCTGGTACGAGTTAAATAATGCTTTGCTCCTTTTGTAGCAGTGCCGAGCCTTTGGGCCTTTAACAATTTATACCGTTTATTAGAAAGGATTTTTATTGCTACTTGAAACAAAAAGGAATACTCTAAAACTTTTATGAAGTATTTTGTGTTCAAGATTTGAAGCAGACTAACATTATACTCAACACTTGGACCATAAGATACTGAAGCCACAAGTTTACTACAGTATACTAAGTATGACTTCAAATTCCAACCAACCTGTGCACTTTTCATCTTCCATTGTGTATCCCGACATGCAGTCTTTACATTTGCCAGGGCCTTCTCCTGTGCAACCTACACAGCTAACATCACATGCTAAAACAAAAGCCATAAGTGAGTATTGGAACATAAACAAAAAATTGTAACCTGAACTAAGCTGACAAATCCACGTGCACAAGAAAGAATTTCAAGGCACAGAACTACTTTCATCCTGTTCATACTACCATAGTGTCTAGATATCCTAGTAAGGATTGGAACTCCAATATATCTGGTGTTTTACCAGCAGAATAGTCTGTATCCAACTGAGTTTTCAATGGGCTTTTGTTGTGCATTTAAATGTATAACATAAAATTCAAAGTCCTCTGCTTAAGAACAATCAATCAAAATGGGAAGAAACTATTGTGGAGATTACCAATTACTGAGCTAAAGAGCTTCAGCTATTTTGCAGAAAACTGGCTGAGGGTTTAACAAGGCAGCAATGTTAGTTTACATTGTTTTTGCTCTCTTCACAAGAAAACGTTGACGTTTTCTCCCCACCCCAACTATCCAAGTCAAAAACAGAGAATTTTTCACCCTCAGCAAGCAGCTAGCAGCAGCTAGTAATAATTCAGGGGTAATTATACTTACTACCACAAATACAAAGAACTGCAACATAAACAAAGTTCTTGATTTATTACCTAGCCATGATATCTCAAACTGCACTATTCAACTACTATTGTGTATTCAGATTCTGATCAGCAAAAAATTCTAATAATTTGAAAAAGTACACTGGCTTATCTGAAGGCCCGTGACACAAAATGTAATTATGAATAGGATGTAAAGAACTACACACTTTAGCAAATTCTCTTTTAACTTGCATTTAGGATGGAAAAATATTTGTTAATATGAGTATTTTACAGCAACTTTCATTCTTATCTAGCAAAAGAAAATAAGAGCATTTGCTCCTTTATGCATAGAAGTATTACATAGATTGGCCAAACATATTGAGAAAGACACCTTTGCACGAGAAAGATCCATCTGTGTTTAAACAGTATTGGTCATCTTTGCAAGGAGAAGCCTCTGCAGTACACTCATCCACATCTGAAACAAAGTGGTATAGGTCAGCTATACAACTGTGAAATTTGTTTAAAAGCAAAAATAATATTCATCTGCATAAGTTACAATAATTTCATACAGGCCATAATGTTCTATAATATAGTTGCCCATAAAGGTGTGGCAGCAGCTGAAATCATCAGCTGTCCTAATAAGGCCATATAATTTTTCTTATGATGCAATCAGAGCAATATTTCTCCCCACCAAATATGGGAAAGGACATTTGATGTGCCAATCTGATTGGCAATCTAATCCAACCTGATTAGTATTTCCAAAGGGTGTTCCATTTTCTTTTTATGGATTTAATTTTTTTAATTAATTATGTAAGGCTGAAAAAAAGACAAAAATTCAGGAAGTAATCAAGAACTTGTCACCACCTACCAAGTACAGACAACTATTAATACTGCAACAATAATAACAGAAAATCCTGATACTAAGAGTTAATTGCTCAATATTTTGTATTTCAGTGACCCATGAGATGCTTATAAAAAGAGATTTTTGTCTGCCTTCCTAAGAAATTAAGCATTTAAAAAGTGCTGTGTGATAATTTGCATCCAAAAATAAGGAAAAAAAGTACAGCTAGCTTCTATACAAGATCCTCAAAGAAATATACCGCCAAAATATAGCAGGTAAACTATAAAGTAGTATGGGAGAGCTTCTTGTTTTTCTGCACAAGAAATAATCAAATCTAGACAACTTCACATGCACTAATGCCAATAAGGTATTTTAACTAAAATTTAAACATGTATCATTCAAGTAAGTTATATGTGTCACTGCAGATAGTCTGACAGTGATACCAAGCTAATTGCTTGCTGTACTTTAAGAGCTGTTAAATAAAGTGAGAAATCCTATGTTAACATGCATATTAGAAGTTAAGAATCCAGAAATATTTGTGATGCACAGGACACACCTAACCAGATTCCAAGAAAAGTAGCATAGGACAGGGGTAGGCAACCCCCAGCATGGTTGTCAGTGTGGCACATGAAGGCATTTTGTTTGGCATGCGTGCCTCAAGGCTGATGGCAGGGAAAGGGGCCGGGGCTGCACTGCCAAAATAAGGATTGGGCCCCTTGCGGCTCCCCCAACACCTGGCCCCAGTACACAACGATATCACAAGTCGAGGTTGAGGGAATTTTTGGCATTCTGCCCAAAAACGTCACCCACCCCAATATAGGGTGCCCTTATAGAAGAGTTTTAACTCAATGTGGCCTTATCTTATCACCCAGTTAGTACAAAAACAAACAAACAAAAAAACCCACTGAACTGTTTTCTTGGCCTTCATTTGGGTTAGGACTGACTTACCCACACAAGCTGCTTCTTCATTTGTGGTCCAGCCCTCTTTACATGCCTCACAATCTTTGTTAGTTGAACCAGTGCAAGTTTTACAGGCAGCATGACAAGCTGTGGAGAGATTTTGAGCATGGTTAAAGTTAGATACAGCTGGTGTAGGTTAGGGTTTCAAACAATTTTTTCCTTCAAGAAATTATACCAGGTTTACCAGAAACCACAACATGACATTTGCATTCTCTTTTTATTCTGGAAAAGTGGAAGGAAGTTTACCAATTTTATATAGAGCCATTCCTTCACTACCAAAGCACAGACACCTAAGATGTGGAAAAGAATATCCACTAAAAAACAGCAACAATAAAATAAAGCCACAGGTTTTTTGTTTTTTTTTAAACAAAAAATAGAGGTGTTTATAGAGATACGAGAGTGAATTCAGGTGAAACAAAAGACTAATGTACACAGAAAAGTAAGCCACATTAGAAACTGGCAAGTACAGACGGGTTAGTGCCATTCTGCTTAGAAAAGTGCAATGAGATTCTGATAACTGAGAGCCGTCATGAAAAATTTCATCCGGAAAAAGACAGTTCTTTGATCAATTCCACTGTGCTGTGGCATCTGTCAAATGCTAACTCAGAATCTCTAAGTGAGTCAACAAACCTACTTTATTTTGTACCTATTTAGGAGACCATAGTTTGAGGTAATATTGATATCAAGGCACAGCGAAACATGCTATGAATCCAAGATTAAGATCTGGCTCTTTTGGATATGTTTGTTTATATCATAACATCAAGCAAGTCGCCTGGAAACACTGCTACATAATTACATTATAAAATAGTGTAGTTAATGCTGGGACGCATATACACGAGGCACATTACTGAGCATTAGTTTAATTTAATACATATTGCATGCAGGTGTCTACATATCCATGCCCTTAATATGCATTAAGAGGGGCAAAATTAGGCTAATAGGGCCTAAATTTGATACCTACAAACGTAGGTATCAAATTTGGCGTGACTAGTTAAAGTGCATTAATGCACATGTAGAAGTGACCCAGCACTAAGTTTAGTGCTGGGTCTGCCCAGCCACTAGGTGCACATGGCAGGGCTGCAGGGATGTGGCACTAGCCTTAGTGCCACATCCCTGTATATGTAGACACCTGCCAAAAATTGCTTAATGCACATGAAATTTAGTTGCGCGTACATGCATGTATAGACATGCCCATTAAGTAACATTTTCATTAAATGCAATACTCAGGCTTTTTATCTACTACGTAAGTTTGCTTTGGGTTGAATTGCAAAGTAAAAAGCTGGATATAACGCTATTTTAATTTGTAAAATTTAAAGAGCCAAAATACATTTTATTAGACTAACAGAATGCAACTTCACAACTTAACAGAGCTTATTTTAAAAGAAAACTTTGGTTGCATCTGATATATAATGCAGTTAAAGTTCATTTTTGGCTAAAATATATAAGAAATGAGGTAAGACAAACATGAAACAGCCTACTACATGGGAAACAGCTCAAGATTTCTTGAGTCTCATCACATATTAATACTTCATGTTGGAGACGAATAAAAAAAGGACAGTTCATAAGAACATGCCATATCCTCAGAGACTGCACCACCACATGAGAAGCAGCCCAAATGACTGTTATGCCCAGCTGTTAAGACAAGTAATCATTCTCATATCTCCCATTTCTTGAAGCTCTCAATAAATTTTTTATACTTAGTTTTAGAAACCTGTAAATTATTCATAGATTCATAGATGTCATAGATGTTAAGGTTGGAAGGGACCTCAGTAGGTCATCAAGTCCAACCGTCTGCCCTGGGCAGGAAAGAGCACTGGGGTCAGATGACCCCAGCTAGGTGCTTGTCCAGTCTCCTCTTGAAAACCCCCAAGGTAGGGGAGAGCACCACCTCCCTTGGAAGCCCATTCCAGATTCTGGCAACACTTATTGTGAAGAAGTTCCTTCTAATGTCCAACCTAAATCTGCTCTCTTCCAATCTGTGGCCATTGTTCCTAGTTACTCCAGGGAGAGCTCTAGTAAATAGAGCATCTCCTATTCCCTGCTGCCCTCACCTGATGAATTCATAGGCAGCCACAAAATCACCTCTCAGCCTATTCTTGTGAAGGCTGAAGAGATCTAGGTCCCTTAGTCTTTCCTCGTAGGGCCTTGCCTGCAGGCCTCTGACCATACGAGTGGCCCTCTGAACCCTCTCAAGATTCTCCACATCCCTCTTGAAGCACAGCACCCAAAACTGGATGCAGTACTCTAATTGTGGCCTGACCAGTGCCACATAGAGGGGAAGCATCACCCCCCTGGACCTGTTCAACATGCATTTGCTAATGCATGATAACGTGCAGTTAGCCTTGTTGATCACTTTGTCACGTTGATGACTCATGTTCCTCTGGGAGTCAACTATGACTCCAAGATCCTTTTCTGCTGCTCTGCTGCTAAGAAGGTCATCCCCCAGCCTGTAAGTGTTTTGGTGGTTCTTTTTACCCAGGTGCAGCACTTTGCACTTGACTTTGTTGAACTGAATCCTATTTCATTCTGCCCATTTTTCCAACCTGTCCAGATCCACCTGGATCCATAGATTCATAGATTAAGGGTCTGAAGGGACCTAGTAGATCTAGCCCGACCCCCCGCCAGGGCAGGAGAAAAACAAAAAACCCCAAATTCAATAGTTAATATGAAAGAAACACAGATACAAGCACATGTCAAACTTAGTTACCTGTACAAACAGAATGCGTTTCATTTTTCAGGGTACTGTAATAACCATCAGAGCAGTCTAGACAAAAGTCTCCTGCATACTCCTTGTTACAACTACATGTTCCATCCCCACTTCTAGTGCCATCTCCATCACACTGGCCATTTCCATGGCAAGGCCTTTCTGACCCACCGCGACAAGCTAAAAAAAGCAAAGATAATTTAGAATGATTTAGTGGGGGGAAGGGGGAGAGCAGAATGGGGAACCCTTTGAAATTTAGCCATGTTTAAAATGAGAAATATTTTCGACTTTTTTTCAACTCCACTTACCTCCTCCCTCCAACTGTTTACCCCACTCCACTCTCCAACTGAAAACTCCAAACATTTAAAGGTGATTTTGTGGTTATATAACTAGTGCCAGTATGAAATGACTAGAGCTGCGTTATCTGATAACTGGAGTTCTGAAGGAGCAAATTTCATTTCCTAAAAGAATTGCTTTTTCAGGAAAGCAAATGAATTTCCCAGTTGGAATTCTTTCAACAAGGGTTCACCTATTTAGCAACTTGCATAACATTAGAAGATAAATGAAGTACTACAAATGAACATATCGCAACTGCAGACAGACAATTACTTTAAAGGACAAGTCAATTCTGTAGTTAGATTTCTACCCTGATACCCCTTTATAGGGTCTCCCTGGCCTATCATTTAATAAAACGGGGCAGAGGTATTGCTTTTTATGCAGAATCACTTGATTTGACCCATTCCTTTCCTAACCCACCTTTTTTAATGAATCAGCTACCAGACATGCTTCCTCCAGCACTCTCTACCTGCCCCCACTCCATTCTCCACAATCCTAAACTATGGGTTTGTTTGCTTCTTCGCCCATTAGACTCTAGGCTGCTGTTCTACTGTCTGCTCAACTGCTGCCCTTGCCCTCCACCCCAAATTAACTGCTACCACACACAAACACTTCTGGCTAGTTCTGATACTCGTAATGTATCTGGTAAGTACAGAGATACTGAGGCCTTTACTATTCTTCTTTGCCTAATCCCCCACCCCAAGTTACTGCTGCTCCTGCTTATCTCTGGATATGGACTTCAGTTAGGAGACACCAGCAATATTCAGTTTAGTAAAACAGTTCAGGAAGGCCAGGCCAAGAAAATGGGACAAAACTGAGTTCATAGCCCCATAATTAAAAGCACTATATACTGTTAAACTTAAGAAAACATAATAGAACATACCAAGGCAGTCTGGTCCATAGGTTCCAGCAGGACAGCAAACTTCAATAGTTTCTATACAAAACCACTTAAATAAGTCAGGATACTTCTTCTTTCTGTATAATAAAGATATTACATTTCTTCATTATAGGAATCATTACCTAATTCACCGGATCTCAATTTACAAAATACGCAGGGTCACATACAACTTGAATCATTACAGTGAGTGAACTTTATCGTCCAGACTCCCATCTCTCCTTTCTACCTCCAATAACACTTTTGTGCAGTTCTAGAACCTGAAAGAAGTCAGGAGTGATTTAGAAGAAAGCTAGTGTAATCATTATACCTTAATTGCTTGATGACTA